GGTGAATGACAAAGCAACATGCAGACGGTGTTCAGATCTGTGACCGCCAGCTCACACTCAGATGGAAAACCGAGCCACTTGGGCAGTCACTAGGTGGCAAATTAGAACCCACTTCAGTGCTCGCTCTGCTGCCATGACAGTCCAGGAAAAGGGATTGCCAGTTGGATGTTCCACACAAAGCTGAAGGTCACCGCAGCAGTCGTGGGGTGGCGGGGGGGGGCTGCCCCTGACTAGTGAGGGGCGGAGCTGAGATTGGAATGGGATGATGGCTCTGACTGAGTGCTGCTGCTCAGAGCTGATCTCGCGGGGGACCTGTTGCCGGTGGCCAGGGCACTATGCGCCACCAGGATGAGCTGAGCATAAGTGGGTGAGTGTAAATTCTCTGCTGACTCGAGTCTTTCTCACCACATTGCCAGTTTCCAAGACACTCATGGTGCCATCGGCTGTTTTTTTTTTTTTAAAAAGAACCCTGCATCCTGACTCAAACTGAGTGTAAACTACAAATTTATTGCAGTAGGGAATCGCAGTGTTCACTGGGGCTTATTTTGGAAATCTGTCCAGAGTGTACAGCAGCTGAAAAGTATGGACATTGCTCAGTTGGTATGCATCATCCCACTGCACATAATAATGCTGGCAGGAGAGAAGAGAGTCATCATTAATCGGGATTATTTTACACGGCCACAGTGAAGACATCTAAACTGACTGAACCATTACCTCACCGCTCCACCATGTGATCATCTACTTTTAATTCCATTTTTAATGTCACGACGGATGGCGTGAGCGTGGACCAGGGAAGCAGGAAGCAGGAGTGGGGAGATGGAGAATCAGGGAATACGGGTTTATTAGGAATAAATCCTATCAAGGGCACAGGAAACATGTAACGTCAGTGACTGGACTGGGGAAACATACTCGAACACGGACTGAAATACACAGGATTAATGGCAGGAAACAAAGGACAGCTGGTAAACGTAGGGATTCCTTACGAGGTTAATGAGGGGGCGTGGCACACAGGAGGATCAGACGAGCCGGGCGTGACATTTAAAGCAAGAGTTGCATTATGCGCAGTCGTTATAAAGTTTCAGGAACCCCCACCATTAGGGTTTGCTGATGACAGACCGTTATCATGCCTCCAGCTTCCAGAGTGAGGGTGTCAAAAGAGTGAGCGGAGTGAGCCAAATCCTCAATGTCGCATGCACTGCTGTGGCCCTGCAGGCTATGAACTGAGACATGCTGTTTAAGGATTTCTCTCTCAGGCATTTATTACACTGAGCCTCAAACAGTTAGATTATTGTCTGTGAAGACACTTGGTATATCTCGCATCTTTGTTTTTATCTGTGCATTTCAGCTGATAATGGAAGTTTCTCCTTGTAAAGTGACCTTGGGTTTGTGAAAGGCGCTATATAAGTGTTACTTATTATTTTATTATTATTATTCCAACTAAATGGGTTATACATACATGTCTTGTTCTCTTGCTGCTTGTTATCTTCTAGCCCTAAACCCCTCTTCCCATCTTCAGTATGGGCAGTAACAGCAATTGGTGAGCTGCAAGGGTTTTCCATGTGGAATTATTTAATCTTCCATCTCAGCATTTGAGGTAAATGAGAAGGGTCATTTAGGACTGCATTTCTCAACCCGGTCCTCAGCGACCTCCAGACAAGTCCACATTTTTTGCTCCGTGGGAGAGAGCAGAAACATAGAGCATTTGGGGGCCCCGAGGACCAGGTTCAGAAACACTAATTTAGGATGAGCTTCTTGCCCTGCCCTGACAGTATTCTTTGGAGAGTACCCGTCTGGCCTCAGCATGATTGATGTCACTCTGTGTGATTGGAAGATACAGTTGCCATCTATTTCATTTATAAGTCTGTAAAAATAAATCTATCAAAGTCCACCTGCCACAGTTATTTACACCAATCAAATGCAGATGTTTTATTGTTTGTTTTTGTTGCTTTTCGTATATATTCCTAATGAATCACAGTTAATTTTTGAATCCTTCTGGCTGGCTATAACTAACTGCTGATTTACAACAATCATCCCTAATGTTTTTTTCTTTTTTTTTTAAAGAACATTTTGTAATTTTTATACCACCTTAAGATATGCATTAAGCCTTTAAAAGCAATACATTTAAAAAGTACAGATTCTTATTTCAGAACCCATAAACTGCTAATTAAAACTCCATCTGAAGGGCTGGACATAACAGCATCGTTAAACCTTAATGTGCATTGCATTATGCATTATGATCATTTCATAAATACACATGAAGGATCCATGGCTTATTAATGATTCCGCAACATCACTGACTCTGTGTAAGATATCCCCCCCACCCCCCACCACAGATAGACTAGCAATTCTTCTAGCTGTGTTATCCCATGTATGGAGGGGCAGTGGGAGGGGCCAGGAGCGCCCCCCAGAGGATGGGCCCATAACAGCAGCTCAGGGCCAGCTCCCAGTTGCTGCTCCATCTCAGGTTGCCATGGCATCCTGGTAAGATGGCCCCATTTCCTGCCACGGAGAGGGCCTGGGGGGGGGACATGTCCTGAGTGTGCCCCTGCTCTCTAATGCAATCAGACAGGCATGGTGGCGACTGTCACGTGGGAGTCCTTCATCGCACCCGCTGCTGTGCCGGAATGCACGCCAGCTTCCGGAACAGTCCACAGTGGTGGCTGGGGCAGATACACCACGGCCTGCTGTTTGTACCCTGTGATTCTGCTTTAAGGCTGTCTGGAAGTTTCCCATAGGCCGCCGCCACTCAGCCCCCATGATGCAATTCTCCCGGGAGTTCATTTCTGTATGCTGCTCGAAAGGAGCAGAGTAATTATTCCCATCTTGTTCTCAATCATATTTTTTTTGTTGTACTGCAGCTCTAGGTGTCAGTGCAGTGAGTCCCTGTAGCCTGAAGCATTTCGAGCAGGAATACATCCTGAGTCACACGAGCGTTTCCTAACCCCGAGCAGACCGATGGCCCCGGGGACTGGTTAAAAGACACGCACTGGGTGCTTTAAGCCTGCTGTTTTTGCAGTGGGGAAGAAGCGTGCCCATTGATCTGTTTATTTTATACCCTGAGTGTAGGACAGACGTGTACATGAAACCCAAACAAGATGGATGCGCGCCACATGCCGGGCATGAGGATGCTGTAAGGTCAGTGGGAGAAAAGGCCAACTATCTCCCACCTGAAACTTCCATTGTAGAAAATGCTGACATCCTCTGGATGCCCTTTTGCTAGAGAGGGAACTGCTCAGCACCTGGGATGGTCTTCACAATACTTGTAAAAGGAACAGCCAAATTTGAGCGTACGTGTTGGGTTGTTCCTGACAAAACGTTACGAGGAGTTGCATCATAGAGGCCTCATGTCGAGTCTTTTTAATTTTCAAGGCAGGATGCATTTACTCTGCTGCTCCTTGCACCCTTTATGATTGTATGGAAGAAATATGACTTTTTCAAAAAAGTCTAAAAAAAAATCTTGAAATAAGCAATGACCTGAATGTATGTTGCACAAATGAGTAATGATTTTGAACCATTCATCACTGGTTTTCTGACTCCGATTTTGTATTGAATTATCTCGTTTGGAATCCAGAGTTTATTGCCTTTTTGCATTTACGGTATTTTTGGAATATGGCTTATACTTCAGTCTACAGCAGTATTATAAAATACAGAAGGATTCTGTATTTTCTGTAACTGAAAAGAAAAACTTTAATTAATGCCTCTCTTTTGCAACCAGTTTGAAGCAAGATGATACTGACACACAACCTTTGCTGCTATATTACACACAACGTCACTAGCTAATTCAGACTTAAAATACATGAAGTTTATTCACATTTTGTTGCAGCTTAAATGTAAAATGTCTGACGACTGGATTTATTGTTTTATTCTCACTGTGGGAATATGAAATTTGAATTCTTGAGGACAATGTTCTTTTGGGAAAACACGAGAAAGCGTGGTGGGTGGGGGGGGGGCTTGTTCAGTCTGAGCGGGGGAGCCTCATCTGCATCTTTGCAAACCACCAATCAATAAATCAATTGGCAGGCGGTTCTTTCTTCATTAAGGTGATTGTCTTATCTGACGTCTCCAGGAAGCCAGAAACACATGCAATGAGAAGTGAGACAGAGGGAGACGCTTTAGCCCAGGGGTGATTCATTGTGCGGCAGTGCTTATTACCCACCACAATGCATCTGCCGCCTCTCCACAACCACCCTGCAGAACGAGTCTCATTAGAGAGGGAGCAGCGTGGCATGACAGCACCAACAGGGAAGCCTATCTACAAATACTCAAGTGCTGCAGATACTGGGGAGGCATAGCAGGAGATGCTTAAACCAGTCGCATTCTATAAAGAGCAGCACAGAAACCCGAAAGGGACGCCAGTTTCATTTCACCAGCTGCTGTTACACTGGGCAGTATTTACTCTGATGGTCTACAGGCTGAGTAGGCCACCTGGAAGCGAACAGATGTTATCTGTGAGAGTTGTGTATTTCCTGCTTTTTGTGGAGTTACGGATCTCCTTCGCCCTCCTGATTTACTGCCATTTTCACTGCCTCAGTTCTCCTGCTGTGGACTGTGCTTTATGGTGACCCTCTTCAGCTTTATATCACTCCCTTCCTGAGTTGTCCTCTGTTGCTGTTATTTCATGAGAATCGAATTTATCTTCTGTCAAACCTGTGATCCTGCCATTATACCAACAGATTTATATGTATGTGTGGCACTGCAAATGGGGACCATGAAAACATATTTGAATGAAACTGGAAACTGTGAAAAGGTTCATAAAAATCTACAGCTTAGCAGTTGCAGTGAAAATGTAGTAAGATTCATAAGACTTTTTACTAATGGTAAAGTTATAATTGACTGCAATACCACAATACCACAATGTGTCCTTTTTCATTCTCTAAGTATTTATTAATTATTCTCTAAGTAATTATTAATGTTTGTAATAATTTCAGACGGACATATATTAGATTATTAAAATTCATGCAAATGTAATTCTACAAAATAATAGGTCCTTTTTCTTCCAGGAGCTGAAGATCCGAAAGGTGGCTTTGTAGAAGAAGTTTCAGAGCCAAAAGCCAGGTCGAGCTTCACACTGAACCGAAGCTGGGAACCATGAGTAGAACTGTGCTCTTGGTTCTGTTGCCCTGCATCTGTCTGGCACTTATGAGGTGTCACTCTGCCTTAGCCAGCACGTTCTGCCCAGCACAGTGTGTCTGTGAGACCCGCCCATGGTACACTCCTCAGTCTTTATACCACCAAGCCAGGACCGTGGACTGCAACGAACTGCATCTGAGCAGGGTTCCATCCAACATATCTGGGGATACTCAGGTCCTGCTTCTGCAGAGCAACAACATTTCTCACATTACTGCAGAACTCCAGAATCTCATTAATCTCACAGAACTGGACCTCTCCCAAAACCACTTTGAGCAGATTCAGGACATCGGGCTGAACAACCTAACTCAGCTCATCACCCTCTACCTAGAGGAGAATCAGGTACAGGCACTACCAGATTTCTGTCTGAAGGACCTGGTCAGTTTAGAAGAGCTGTACATCAACCACAATCAGATTTCTTCCATTGGTCCCAAAGCCTTTTCTGGATTGGGGAACCTCCTAAGGCTTCATCTTAACTCCAATAGGCTGGTAGCCATAGACAGCCACTGGTTTGAGTTCCTTCCCAACCTGGAGATCCTCATGATTGGAGAGAACCCCATATTGGGGCTGCAGGATATGAACTTTTATCCTCTTTCCAAACTACACAGCCTGGTGCTAGCTGGCATGGGGCTCAGAGATGTTCCTCCAGGGGCCTTTCAGGGACTAGAATACCTTGAGAGCCTCTCCTTTTTTGACAACAAATTAATTGCTGTGCCCACAGCAGCACTTAGTGTGCTGCCTAACCTCAAGTTCTTGGACCTCAACAAAAACCCTATTCCTCGGGTGCAGGAAGGTGATTTCCAAAACTTCCTCCACTTGGAGGAGCTCAGCCTAAACAACATGGAAGAGCTGGTGGCCATTGAGAGGGGAGCCTTCAGTAATCTTCCAGAGATGGTCAAATTGGAAATTTGCAATAACCCTCATCTATCCTACATTGACCGTGCTGCTTTTCAGGGTGTGGAGGGTCTACACATCTTACTAGTCAGTAACAATGACCTCAGCCTCTTGCCCCATGAAGTTTTCGCTTCCTTTCCCAATCTGGATGAGATCAGTCTGCACAGCAACCCGCTTCGATGTGACTGCCTTTCCGTTTGGTGGTCTATCCTGGGGAATCAGTCTACTTTGAGGCTTTTGGAGTCTCAGACTACCCTCTGTGCCTCCCCGCCCCAGCTAACTGGCCATACAGTGCAGGAAGTTGTTGCAAGTTGGAATCTGGCCAGCAACACCTGCCTCCCACTGATTTCCTTACATACTTTCCCCCCTGAGCTGAATGTCACTGCTGGACAACCCCTGACTCTAAATTGTTGGGCTATGGCTGACCCTGCACCTCAGTTCTACTGGGTGACACCAACTGGAGATAAGGTCACTACAGAGGTTCTCTCACAAGAGGCGGATATCAGCAAAAACAAAAAACATAGACTACAAGATCAGGGAGCTCTAGAGATCCTCCATGTGGAACCAGCAGATGCTGGTCTCTACACATGCGTTGCATGGAATGCAGAAGGGGCCGACACTCGCAGTGTCACAGTTCACGTGGACAAGAGTGACTGGCATAATAGAAGGCCAGAAGTTGGTGAGCAAGGAAATTCCACAGGGTCCTTGGTTGTCCTCGCTAAGGTTATCCACTCCCAGTCTGTGGTGCTGGAATGGAAACTTTACCCTTTGGTTAGCACCTCCAGTCGCGATGTCACTCAACCCAAGTGGTCCAGCGCTACAATGAAAATTGACAACCAGCAGATTAGCTATACGGCAAAGGTCCCTGTGGAAGTCCAAGAATATAATCTTACACATCTGTTGCCATCCACAGAGTACCAGGTTTGTCTGACTATGGTCACCTCAGAGCACCAGACCCAATGGTCCTGCATTAATGTGACCACGAAAGAGGCCAGCTTTGCTGTTGAGATCGTGGCACAGCCCACCAATGTAGCACTGGCTGCAGTAATGGGCTCCATGTTTGCCATCTGTATCATGGCCCTGTTAGTCTTCTACATGGGACGCCGCATGAAACAGAAGTCATGCCATCACTCTCTGAAAAAGTACATGCAGCACGCAACCTCTATCCCTTTGAATGAGCTTTACCCGCCTCTCATCAACCTCTGGGAAAATGAGGCCGAGAAGGAGAAGGAAGGACCAGTTGACCCTCAGAACCCACAGATAGATACCTCAAAGACATACATGTGGTAATGTGAAGCTAAACAGAGAAGAAGGAAAAGACTTTCAAATAGATGTATGACCTATGCTAGATGTTAGGGGTAGGCATCTCTGATCCTGGAGTGTCGGCATCCAGAGCAGGTTTTCCATCCTACCTGGTCTCTGATGAACCACACCTGATCACAGGCAGAGAGCAACTCATCGGGTAGGATAGAAAATCTGCTGGATCAGGGTAGCCTGCCCCTGCTGTAAGTAATTATAGTTTTTGTTCACCTTTAAAAATACAGAACAATTTGATTGTGAAAATATATATGTATTTTTACCGTGTGTTATTCCATGTCCCTCACAAGACCACAGTAGAAATAGCAGATGCCCTGCTGAACACACGCACAGCAGTTAGGCAGTGACGTCTACATGCCTAGGGGGAGTCTGAGTCGTTAAAATAGAAATTCCCTCATGATCCAATCAGACTTTGCCTGATTTAATTACTTGTATTGTTTGTATTTTTACTGGAAAATAAATCTTGGCTCCGGAAGTAGTACAGTTTTGAGGACTGATGAGTGTGACTGTTTGAACATATGACCTATATAGACAATAGCTACTCTTCAGATACTGTCGATTAGTGAATCCTTACACCAGGGGTCCAGGTCAAAAGTGAAACCTATTGACCCAGGCAGCTGTGTGATCCGAACTATGAAAAGAAATCTCACATTTTTAAAGCAATACCGCATTCTCTTAAAACATTCAAAATGCATCCTCACTCTTTCTGGTAGCAAATGGCCTTATCAATCTGAAAGCATACAGAATAAACCTGTCCATGCCGTACCCCAGCCTAGAACTCTGTGGTGCCTGGGCTGGGCTCCAGGTCCCTTGTGACTCCGACCAGGAAAATTGGTTAGAAGATCATATTCAGTTACTGAAGAAGCAGCCATTGGGTCAAGGTAGAATAATCAAACTCTTTTATTCCTTTCACTGTTCACCATCATACACTAATAATACAAGAAATGGACATGCTTTTTACTAACCACACACGGACGTCTTTGAAAGTCAGGCATAGCTTTTTACTAATGTTTTTACTGCAGATCTTTCAGCTTCAATGTCTACATTTTGCTTAAGGTCTTTGTTCCCAACATTAGAACTTTGTGTAGAAGTTTGTGTATTAACACTCTGGGAGTTGAAGGGGTAAAGCTGCAGCGTGGTTCTGGTTATATTGTTCTGTCAACAGCTTGTATATATAGTCACAATGAACAGAAATAAATACAAGTTAGGCATAATAATTCATGTCAAAGGCTGCCGGTCCAGTCTGTCTGACTGAGCCTGTTCTACTACACGAGATCGGCCTGTTCTGTCTTAAGTTATTGTGAAACCAAGTCCCCTGGCAACTATCAAGGACAATGTCAATGAAAGCTGCTTCTTTGTTCGAGATGATCGTTTCTGTATGACTGGCACAGTGAGACTAGCCACTGCATGCCTGCTGCACAGTTACAGCAATCCAAGGCAGCATCGGCCATTCGGGCACAACCTGATGGCAGTTGATATAGATATAATTTATTGTTTTAAAAAAAATCTAATTAATTAAAACTGCATTATTGTTATATTGAAATGTTGTAAATGACTATAGAACACAAGTAGGCTATTCAATAAATTGTTTAGTGCTACATTAATGTCTGTTTTTAATAATTATAGCATATTTGAAAGAAAGTTAGAAAAGATATGAATATATCTTATTAGTATCAAATCATGAGTACAATTATATGCTTCATTTTTATATTAGAATTTTTAATCATTATAATTTTGATGACATGATGGTTTTTTAAAACATGTTTAATTTTAGAATGTCAAACTACAGTATACACTTGCTAAAAAATACAAATCAGCTAAACAACTAAATCTAAATATTCCTCACTAGGCACTTTTGTTAAGGTACACCTTATTTATTTGATCCTAAAAAACTGTTGAGAAACCTCAAGACTGGAAGAGTATTTGAATTCTTGTATTTAGAGCAACTGTTCCCTGGAATAAAAAAAAAAACAAATTCAATGTTCCTCTACAAAACACAGTAACTGCCCTGACACTGAAACAGACACTGAAATAGACACTGAAACTGAGATACTGAAACTGCCTTGGTTTCAGTGTGGATTTTATAGTTACTGGTATTTTCATACCCAGTTTTCTTCATAACAGACATAAACAAAGCCGAAGAGACCCTGATTTTGTCTTAAATTTTGATAAAATTTGCGGTTATGGTCTTTTGACTTTGTATGGCAGAGCACCTTTAGTGGGTATGCATACACTATATGGACAAAAGTATTGGGACATTTGGCCATTACACCCACAGGAATCTTTATGACACCCCATTCTAAATCCATAGGCATCCATAGGAGTTGGTCCCCCCTTTGCAGCTGTAACAGCTGCTACTCTTCTGGGAAGGCTTTCCACAAGATCTTGGAGCGTGTCTGTGGAAATCTTTGCCCATTCATTGAGAAGACCATTTGTGAGGTGATGCACTGATGTTGGACATGAAGGTTTAGCTCGTAATAGAAGCATAGAATTGTCCAAAATGTCTTGGTATGCTGAAGCATTAAGAGAGCCCTTCAATGGAACTAAGGGGTCTAGCCCAACCCTTAAAAAACAACTCCATACCATTATCCCTCCTTCACCATACATTACATTTGGCACAATGCAGTCAGGCAGGTAACATTGTCCTGGCATCTGCCAAACCCAGACTTGTCCATCAGACTGCCAGACAGAGAAGAGTGATTCAACACTCCACAGAACACATTTCCACTGCTCCAGAGTCCAGTGGCAACATGCTTTACACCAGTCCATCCAACACTTGGCATTGGTCTTGGTGATGTGAGGCTTGCATCCAGCTGCTCAGCCATCGAAGCCCATTCCATTAAGCTCCTGGCACACCGTTTTTGTGCTGGGGTTGATGCCAGAGGAAGTTTTGCATTAATCATTCAACAAAGCGTTGGAGATTTTTACGCACTATGTTCCTCAGCCCTCGCCAACCCCGCTCTGTTACTTTATATGGCCTGACACTTCGTGGCTGAGTTTCTGTTGTTACTAAACTATTACTTTGCAATAATTCCAGTTACAGTTTACAGTGGAATATCTAGCAGGGAAGAAATTTCACGTACTGACTTATTGCAAAGGTGGTATCCTATCACAGTACCATGCTTGAATTCACTGAGCTCTTCCGAATGACCCGTTCTTTCACAAATGTTTGTAAACCTGACTGCATGGCTTGGTGCTTGACTTTGGCAATGGGTCTGAATGAAACACCTTAATTCAGTGATGAGGTGTGTCCCAATACTTTTGTCCAAGCAGTGTATCATCCATCCATCCCTTCATCCATCCATCCATCCATCAATTCATCAAATTTTTAACCACTTATCATGTATAGGATGCCAATCTATTGCAGAGCACACACACTATGGACAACTTAAAGACATCAATTAGCTTAGCCGCATGTCTTTGAATGGTACGACCAAAGGGGTACTCAGAGGAAATCTCTATGGCATGAGGAGAATATGCAAATCCCACACAAAGTGGAGACAGGAATCAGACCCCCAGCCCTGGAGGTGATGTCACCATGCAACCCAAACATATGACCATTTTATATTAATTTTATTAGGCAGTAAATGGCAGGGTATTTCTAATGTTTGAGTGCATTGCTGTACTTTAATTAACTAATTGATTCATAATGCAACATGGCAATGATCTTGGTGTCTGTGTTTAATATAAATTTCTTATAGAAGAATATTTTAAAAACCGATGTGAGTGTATTTGTGAAAAGATTTCAAGATGATAATAAAATCAGATTTGAAAACTGTGCTTGTCTATTCATCAGACTACTTGTCCTGCAGCATCATGGGGAGGTATGGAGGCCTGAAGCTGATACCAATCAGCACAGAACAGAAGGGCCTGTACAACCTGCACAGAATGCCTGCCTAGTGCAGGCCACATATACACCATGGGCAGTTTGAAGATGCCAGGTAGCCAAACTACATGTCTTTGGATTGGAAGTGGAAACCAGTATGCAGTCTTCGTACACAGACACACACACATTTTTGTAATTATATCTTTGTGGGGACCCATTTCTGTGGGGAAAAGTCTAATCCTAAAATGGCATCCTTACTGTAAGCCCTACCCAGCCCTAACCTTAACCATAAGTAACCAAACAAAATACGAGACTTTTGGCATTTTTAGTTTTTTGATTGCATCATTTACAGCTCTTTGTGAGGACCTCAAAAAATTGTCCCCACAATGTCAAAATACCAGGCTTTTATTACATTGTGGGGGACACAATGTAATATAAACATAATACACACACACACACATTCATTTCTGTGGTCATAACCTCAATCCCAACTATGACAACCGTAACTCCTAACCATAAGTAACAAAACAAAATACAAGACTTAAAAATAAAATTGGCAATTGGGTTTCTCCACACATACGCACGCACACACACGCAGATATGCACACACACACACAGATACGCAGACACACACAGACACACATATGTATGCACACACATACGCAGACACACATATGCAGACACACATACGCATACACACGTACACACACACACATGTATGCAGACACATGTACACAGACACACACATACGCAGACACATACGCAAACGCACACACAAACACACATACGCAGACACAGATCATTCAAACCCCCAACCCAGGATATGCGAGGCATTATAATTCCCAGAGTCACCATGCAGCCGTATGTGCATGTATGCATTCAAGGTAAATATTGTGTTATTTACTAGTATAATGATGCATTCTTTATTTCTAGAATTTCATTCACATTAAGGACTGTCTCGAGGAGCCAGAAAATTTATATGTCATGTATAATAATAAAATATGAACCAAAACAATTCCTGAATGTCACTGCATGTCATTTTGGAACATGGTCTTGAAAATGATCTCAGAGTACCAATGAAAAATAGTGAATTAAACATCTAACAATTAAACAAAAATAGATTAAAAAAGAGTGAATTAAACATTCACACAACATGCTTGAATGTATGGTTTTATTAGTGACACAACCATTTATAATATCAAGTGATACACATTTAAGGTTAAATTTGGATGCTAAACTTCGTGGCAACTAAATGGAACTAAATTAAATAATATAAATCAATACAGGTGAGGAACCTTAGCTTAAAATGTTTTATAATTATCAGAAAGTGTTGTTGCTTAAATACATAATCAAGGGCCTTTGAAGAAAATAGAGAAATAAAAATCCTCCCCATATTTATAAGAACTAGTCTGGATACTTGACTTACTAAACATCATGTAATATTATTTATTATTAAATATTAATATTTTGAACTAATTGTTTTCTAGTTGTACTGAAAAGCTACTTCTAGTCCAGATATACCGTTCCTTATTTCACTACTAGTCATGAACACAGTATTATGCAGATTTCAGTATAATTACATTTGGAGCATGTTTCTTAATGACCCAATAGGACGAAGAGCCAATTAAATTCGTCAAATACACACACACTAAAAAGTATTATGTAAAAACTAACTTCCCCATTAACGATATGTGCATTTATTTCTTGTTTATTCGTTAGATCAGTGAACAATTTCAAAAGTATTAATCCATTAAATATTTTGTGACCGTTACAAGAGCACTTCCCATATTACACCGAATTCATATTTGTAAATCCAAGAAATATATAACAACGAAATACGTCGCCCTCACGTCGAACACAACAAAAGGACTGACACACAGTAATGAAAACGGTTATATTCAGGAAGCGTTTTCATCGGCTTCTGGACTTCTCAAATCTTAGTAGACACTAAGAAATTCGCATTAGCATTAGCGATCTCATGCTGTAGGTGAACATATTCCATTTCATTTTATTGTGGACAAATTATTGATTTTGTTGGTTAGCTCCTTGTAGTAGGAACCTTGTTTGTTGAGTGCACCAAATAGGATGCTAAGGCACCATTAACGCCCAGCCCACCTCTATCCTCCTCTTCTGCGTCGCCGCTGCGTTTTAGTCAATGGTTTTGTGTTTTCTCTCCATGTTTTAATTTTTACAAAATCTGCTCGTTTTACACGTATATTTACATCGCGGGATTATGGTAAAAATGCTAACTCTGAAAGTGCAGTCTCTGAAACTCTCCTTGCACCCTGATGTTGCCCGGTTGCTAGGCAGAATGACAGCCGGGCCGAAATTGCGGACAGGCGGAAGTGACGTCAGCGCCTTGTCAGGTCTGTGTTGATGTTTTGGGGAAACTGGAAAGCCAGGAGGACGGGAAGAGGGAGACGGTTTGTTTTTGTTCTCTGGGCATCAGAGCTCACGGCGAATGCGAACAACTACAATAAATGCTCCTTACTGGTTTCACAAATAGCAGACGATACTTAAGAAGGGATTATCGCAAACACGACACACGCAAAACATTCGTTGAAAGGAGGAATCGTCATCCCTCTGACCCCCCTCCCTAATAACAGACATAACCATGACGATTCTTCCGAAGAAAAAACCGAGCTCGACAGTCGGAGTGTCGGACCACCCCGACGAGACTGACCGGAGGAGCGGTTCCGACCCTCACCAACATTCACACGGAGGTCGGGCAGGAGCAAGGCCTAGAGCGTCCCCGCCACCCTGGCCGTACCAGGCCGCACCACCCTCGTCAAGGGAAGACAGGCGAAACGAAGCAAGCTCCCGGCCGCAACAGGCCTCCCCTCCGCCAGTAGGATCTGGTTCTCCCGCCGGCCCAGGAGACGGAGGTGGAAGCGGTGGGGTGGCTTGCGTCGCAGGGGTACGCGGGGAACTGTCAGCCGGTGTCGGCTGCGGCGGCGGCATCGGAAGTTGTTGCTCCGGACCCGGCCTCAGTAAGAGGAGGCGACAGGCGCCTTGTGCTGGAGGGGTAGCTGGTGGAGGAGCGGTTGGAGTTGCCGGGGGAGGTGGTAGCGGTACTAGCCCTGACCCGGAGGAAGGAGCCGGCTACAACAGCGAGGACGAATACGAGAATGCTTCCAGGCTGCAGTCCATGGACCCCGCGACTGTCGAGCAGGTAATGTGGGAATAACGCGAAAAAAATACGAATGAGCCCTCTGTCTCACATCACCAGAACTACGAGCTACCTTTCTGTCTAGTGTACCATTGACAGCTTAGAAGTAGGATAAAACTATATTTTTTACATTGATGAAAATGTTTTCTTTGTTTTTCATTGGAAATTAATTAGGTATTTATATAACCTCAAATATTGCACATTTCTGAAATAAACGTCGCAAGTCATTCTCTAAACTTTATTACTATAACTAAATTACAAGTAACTTGCATATCTCAATATTGATCCTATCATTTATAAAGTACGGTGTAAGCATTTTGTTGTTGTTTTTTTCCGTAACACAACAGTCAGTCCAGGTTTTGCCTTCCACTTGGCATGCACCAGTGCATGTGGGTGAATATTTCTTACTATTTGTAATGATGAGAATCTTCTTCCCCTGTAGCCATATAGGATTTTCAGCAAATGAAGAAGCACTGCATTGGTGGTCAGTTTTGATGGCTGCTGTCCATGAGCATATATGAAATGGTCCATTTATAGACCAATAGTAATTGAGAAAATTTTGTAAACATTAGGTTACCTAGACTTCTTGTTCCAAGTATAATTATTTCACTAAAGAGCTGGGATTGCCCATATGCTGTCTTGTTTAATGACTGTTTAATTGACTAATACAGGCTTACTGGTTAAAGACACTAACTTTCTACTAAGCTATATTAGCAAACAGCAGTCAGGTTGCTTGTGGTTTAAGTAGGTAGTAGATAGGTTTATTTCAAATCAAGATTAAGTTTGATTGAAGGAAAATTCAATGTAGTAAACTCTCACATGCTTACTGGTAGCTGCCAGCTGGCAAAGGAAAGGTTTTAAAACATTTGATGTTGACCATCTGCAGCAGCTTTTCATTTGAATGTTCAAACAAAATTACCACTGGTTTTCCACATAATCTGTTAGTCTGCATCTCTTTGTTACAACAGGTATACATTTCATTTCACCAAAGTGCATTTCTGATGTGCATCAGATATGTAGATGTGTTCGGCAGTGCTTAATTATTGGAACACTGAAAGAAAAGCGTAATAAATGAACACTGAATTACCTTGAAATATGCTGTAAAATTTGATTTATTGCGTTTGCCGAAGACTGAAATGCTACACTAGCTGGATCTGGCTTAATGGTTTGTTTTATGTGGCAGGTGTAAAGTGCTTTCAGTCTAATGAATAAAGTCTGCATGAGAGTAACGTGAAACTTGGAGAGGGGAGTTCCACTGGACTGAGCTCTGATCTCCAGTTCCAGTGGAATGCATAAGGTGTGGCTTTTTCCATTAATTTTTGTGTGTGTGTTTGTTTCCAACAGCAGGAACACTGGTTCGAGAAAGCCCTCGGGGAAAAGAAAGGCTTTGTCATAAAAAAGATGAAAGAGGATGGAGCGTGCCTCTTCAGAGCAGTTGGTAGGTGGATAGTTTTCTCATTACCCCCAGTGCTGGTTCTAGTAAACCCATGTCTGACACAGTCACCCTTCTTTTATACTCTTCCATATATAGCTGGTCCTGCCACAAGTATGAATGAACTGTCAGTGAAGATTGTTTTTTTGAAATCATCTTTACACTGCAATTTGCCATTTAATGTTTGTATACATATTTGTCTTCAGTCAGAGAAATTAATAAACATTGTTATAGAGTACACCTATATATTAGTCAAAGGCCTTTGCTCAAGCAATTGTCTGACTGAAAGCTTCATTTAAGTTTGCCAAGTTAAGCTGTTTCTGTGTAGTACTGTTTGCTTTTTCATTGCTATGTTTTTCTTATCTATTTCTAATGACACATAGCAATTTGTAACGACATTTCTAATTTTCACTTTACAAGGCTTTCATTCATTGGATTATCAGAATTAAATCTGGGAATGAAAAAATAATGATGTGTTCAAAACCTTTCATGAAACTTGAACATGTTCCATGTGTGACCTTGGCTTTCCTGCAGGGCAAGACTGGCAATGAATTCTATGAAGCCTTATCAGCTTTCCTTTAGTGTCCTTTCTGATTTTAGATTGGTACAATTACACATAGTCTACTGTAGATGGCACTGTTCTAGTTTCTCAAGGGGACTTTTAGAAGGCACTGAATATTTGTCTAATCTAATTTCTCCTCCAAAATATGTGTAATTACTTTACAAAAAGACTCTATTTTGCCACTTAAATGGTAGTAACTCATTACTAATAAAAAAGACTGTTACAACTTGTTTATAATTGTCTGTTAATGATTTGCAAAGTGTTACAACCTAATTAATAACCTTATTATAAACCATTCATAAACTCTTTATAAGGATAGTCTTATTTTAAAGTAGTACCAAATATATTATGAAGAATATTTGGAGTACATTATGCAGATACATTCTGCAGTTCAATTGTAAATTTGTTTAAGGATGATTTCACTGGGAGCTTGCAGGTTACACACTGGTCCCCCTGCACCCTTAAGAAGAATGCTTTTATCGTGCTTGATGTTTAGTGTAAATGTAATTTAATTATAGAAAATGTGGCCCGATTAAGATAAAGCATTGAGGTCTAGCTGAAGACCCAAACTTCTCTAGCTACAGAAATGACTCACAGTGGGTGCGAAAAGTGGACCGCATGTATTACCATGTCCTGACTCAAGATGGCAGAATTCACATAGTGGCGTGTTCTGTGAATGCAGAAGTGAACTTCCCTTTTGTGAAAGGATGTTTCGTCACTGAAATTCCCTATATATATTTCCTGTATTTATAAATATATTTTAATAATGTCAGAGGCTTGTGATTTGGCAGGTTGTTTTGTCAGCTTAAACATGCACTTAGTGTGCGGTGCATGGATCAGGAGGACTGTGTAATGACACAGACCTAAGTGTGACAGCTGCCCTTTCACCCAGTAAGGCATATGCACTGCATTTCAGCCTGTTCTTATATTCTTTAGGTGAATACACAAGATCTGTAATTATGTAGTGGTATTTTTTTTTTGTTTTTCTTTGGTTGTCCACATGTTCAGGTGTGGGTGTATTAGTTTTGAAATATGTGGCTGAATGGAGATGTGTGAATAAAGTTCAAGAGGCCCCCTGGTTTTCACGAGGAGGCCGTGAGCCCTGCCTGGGACTTACCCTTCCTTCCTCACCAACTGTTTACTTCAGTTACTAGTGTTTCTGTCACACATCAAAAAGAATGAGCTAGTAAGGTTTTTCCCTTTCAGAAACTTTCCCATCATATGCTGTCCAAAGCAAAATATTTCAAACAGATGTTTTCAAATAGTTCGTACTGGCTCCAGATGCCTATACAAGCCTTTGCCAAATTTATAAGAATAGGCTGTTTAATATAGCTGAATGGTTATTTGTTGTTTTTTTTTAGTGATGAGTTTGGTCTTTGTCTGTATGAAATGGACACAGCAAAGACTCACAATAGCATGGGAAAAACAAAACAAAAAGGATGAACATTAAAGCTGAGGGTCCCATGAAGCTTAGATGGTGCTGGCCTGTCTCCTGGACCCAAAATGCTATGCAGTCTAAGGCCATGTCGTTAGCATGCAGTCAGCGGAAGCCCTGTCCTGACATGACTGCCGTCGTTTCCGCAGAAGGCTGTGCCGGTTTATGGAGTCTCTGATCTCTGTTACTAAAAACGCATAGGGGACCCACACACACCTGCAGTGTGCAGGCTGGTCGTGATGAGTAGTGCTATGTGCCTACGCATTTGGGGAAGTAACGGACAGCCAAGTCGTGGGAAAAACAGGCCTGTGGTATCAAAAACAATGGGTGTGGAAAACATTTAAATGTTTCACTATTAATCTGCACATAAAGAGTAAAAGTACACAAAAAAATAAAATGTGAGATGAAACGTGAAGTCAGTGATTGATTGCTATGCATGGAGTTAAGCTCCGTGTGTTGCCATGTGCTCATGGATTCCAGTGGCATAAATGGAATAGAACTGAGATTAAGGTCATAAATCAGCAGAGTCATAATTCGACAATAGAAATGATGGCCAATCCAATGAAAAGCTGTTCTGTTCCCTCCATGTGTCGTGGAATTATACAAAGAATTCAAAGAAAAAAATCAGAATTTATATCAGTTTATCCTGTTGAACAGTTATGAAGGTACCATCTATATTGTGATATTCTTCATTTTCTTACTTTTTTCTGACTTGAAGGTTGCTCTTTGGTATATATATATGTAACATTGAGAGCAATGGTAGCAGCTGTGTGGAAGACCACATACATGAAAATTTCCAGAAAATCTTCTTGATTTTCTGTATTTTTTTTTTCTTCACTTGACCTGTTTAAAACCCCCAGGGTGGAGTTTACCTGCTAATTCTTTGAAACAAGCTGATGATCCACAGAATGTTCTATCAATTTTCTATTTCACTGTGATTGACACGCAAGCTGTTTTTTTTTTTCCTCTCTCTTCTTTTCTTTCTTCAGAGAAGGTGTCACTGGGGTCATTGGCAGGAAAAGTGAATTGATACAGACTGTCGGGGGGATGTGGGAGGGGTACTGGTTGTCGTAGAGGCGGGGCATCAGTAGTTCCAGTAAGCTCCTCCTGTCTGCTTTGAAAGCACTTCTTTGTGGTTAGCTCATTGTCAGTGGTTCCTCTGTGGCATTAGCGGTGGCCAAACCTCATGAAGAGACTCAGTACATTATAAATTGCCTGTTACTTGTGTCTTTGGAAACAGTCAGTTTTCACAAACATATATTTGTTTTCAAATATCCTCATCTATCTGTGAACACATTTTGACCTTAAGCTCTGGTTTTAAAACTGTCCTATGAAGCACATCTGACCCAGAGCACAAGTGTTACGTTTGCAGGAAACGAAACGAGCTGTTTATTTCTGGTCTTGCTCAGGATTTTTCCCTCCACCCACTGGACTCAGTCTTGTTCATTTGGGGAGAAAACTGCAGGTGTAAAGTATGCAAATGCAACCTAGTTTCCAAAAAAGATGGGATGCTGTGTAAAATGTAAATAAAAACAGAATGTGATGATTTGGAAATCATGTAAACCCATATTTATTTCAAAATAAAAAATTAAACATGGGTTTATAATGATTTGGAAACGGGGTTGTAGACCTGGTGTTTTTGCTACTAGATGCCTCTGCAAAGCAATTTTGTTGTCACCAATTGAAAAGAAGTTCCCTATGATATGAACTTCCCAAGAAACATTTGGGAAACCTATTAAAAACTTATTTAAAATGTGCTAAAAGCTGTCATGTATCTGTAGAGAAGATTGGGCTCAATACGCTTAGATCAGGGGTGGCCAATCTTATCCGCAAAGGGCCGCTGTGTATGCGGGTTTTCGCTGCAGCTCCATAATTATTTTACTAATTAGAGGACTGATTGGCTGAGTCCTCCTCACATCTTAGTTTGAACAACTGACCTAAAGGTTACCCCAAAAACCTGCTTACACACCGGCCCTTTGCAGATAAGATTGGCCACTGCTGGCTTAGATCATCTGCAGTGTCTATACAATGGCGCATGTCCTCTGAGTACATCTGGCTCAGACCACAGCTGTGGTAGTTACGGTTGTGTCTATCTGACATATGTTCTGGCTTGGCTTAACTCTATACCTGTAACATTTCACTGCTGTGCAAAGCTGTGAGCTGAATAACATCAATGATCTAACAAAATGATGGAACACGATTATTGGAATGTGTAAACTGAGATTGTACTGTTTGCTTAAAATCAATGGTACCACAACTGCTCTTCTTGCATATCTATGATGACAGTATCGTCGGGGATGGTGTTTGGCTCAGGGCTGGACTCTGTTTGTGATCAGAAGGTTACTGGTTCAAATCGAGTGATTTCATTGTTGGGCCCTTGAGCAAGCCCTTAACTCCATACATTTGCATACATTTAAAGTCCAGCTTCATCCCATTTCTGACTGGCCTGGTAGCTCTTTAGGTAGCACTGTTGTTTTTTTACTTTCAGGGTGTGGGTTTGAATCCATGCTCCGTGTATGTGCATGTTCTACATATGTTGAGCAGATATCATTCTGCCACCTTTGTTTCTTCCCAGTAAACAAGAATTGCACATAGCAAATGTGCCCTGCGATGAGCTGGCATCCCATCTAGGGGGTACCCCTGCTGTGAACCTGGGATAAGCTCCCCCCACCATGGCACTGGTGAATTCTCAAATCCGATTGGTTAGAAGGATTTCTATAATCACACAAGTAGTGCCCACCAGGCAAGTCACAGTAGTAAATCTATGTGCTATTATCATCTTTAATTTAAACTAAAGTTACTTAAAATTTCAGAATGCAACTTGAAATAAACGGAAACTATAAAAACAAAACAACAATGCTAAATATAGGTTTCTCCCTTTATTTGAACATTTACACAGCAAAAAAACTTTTAAAAATGGGCAAAGGCCAATTTGGACATTCCTGTGAAGACACTCTGCAAGCGAAAAAGACCATTAATGAGCAATTTTGAACTAATGACTTGCTTATG